CGCGGCCACGTTTGGATCTGCTACGATGTTTTTGCAAAACGCACCCCGTGAGAGGTCCATGGGCCGATTTTTGGGGAGGACGGGAGGAGTTGGGGAAGGGGTTGGGGGAGGAGGGGAAGGAATTAGGAGGGTGATCATGAGCAGGCGGAAGGCGACCAGGAGGAGGGGCCAGAGGGCAGCGAGATGAAAGAGGATAGAGGCAAGCTGGGAGCGGTCGCGCCGTGTCTGACGTCCTAATCGCCCATTCCTTCCATCCCTTCCATTGCGTCGATCCCCCCTCAATTCGCAAAGTCAGGTGCTTGAAAGACCTTGGTCCCGACAGTGTGGCCCAGACGGATAGCTTCGCTCCGTTGGACGGAAGCCCGATGAAAGTTATCGAATGAGGCACACGCTGCAGCGGGAACATCAGTTTTGTTGATGCAGGACCACGGCCAGCGACGCGGCGAGGACGCCGTTCCGCTGGACGGAAGCTCGATGGGCACTAGCGTCGCTGATGAGGAGTACGGCCGCCGCTGCGACGAGAGCGCCGTTCCCTTAGACAGTAGATCGACGGAAACCCAGAAAGGCAAACTGTCCAGGGGGAAAATCATTCTCGCTGGTGCAAGAGTGCGGCCAGTGCTTCCGCGGCGAGAGCGTAGTTTCGTTGGCTGGGGGCTCTCCGGAGACCACTCAATGTGTCAAGCGCTGCACCTATTACCACTTTTGAAAGGCTGAGAGCGCTTGTTCGGCAAAACTTGGATCGAACATGAGCTCGGGACAATCCTTTGGCGTACAAGCACGATATACGGGATAGGCGGGGTAACATAGACACAGAACCAGGGGAGAGAGACTACCAGCATTCAGATCGTGAAGTTTGGGAGTCAGTGGGAAGTGTGTTGCGCTCGCGCCACATCTGGCATCATGCCCTTCCCTACCATCCCTTTCCGATGTGGCCACTCTTTTTCTATTCACCGATCCAGGCGTCGAGCTGTGATTTGATGCTTCAGTCGGGGGGCAAGTGCCAGGCGAAAGGATGGAGGATGGAGGCGAGGAGGACGATGGGGGAGGAGGAACAAGGGAAGTTGGAGGAATCCAGGGAGGACGACCATCAGGAGGAGGAGGACGCGGAAGGAGCAATTCATGTTGGGTAAGTGTGGGATGGGCAAGAGTGCGGCAGGCGCCCAGGAGAGAGCGCCCCCCCGGGAAAGCCCAACACGGTCGTCCCAAAACGATGTGAATGAAGAAGCACAGGGGTGAGCATGCCAAGTGCGGTCCGATCGGCAAACAAAGTCACATGACATGGAATGTTGTTTTGGTTGTGACTAGAACGTACGTCGCAAAAGCACACCCAGCACAGGATAGTATCAGGGGAAAGAAGGGTCTGGCATTCAGCTTGGATAGAATGGTAGAGGGGGAGGAGGAAGAGGAGGAGAAGGAAGAGGAATGATAAAGCGAAAGGGGGAGAAACATCAGGATGAGGGGACGGGGAGGACTGATTTGGGATGGAACCAGGGCCCGCAGGGGACGGTCCCCAGCGCTGTCTCCGGCGCCACCGATGGCGGACGACGAGGGGGGTAGGATTCTTACGGTTATTCTATTCTTCGGAGGTTGACAGACCTCCTACTTTGACACGTCGATTAGCGAATTGGCCGTTTTCGGTTTTGGAGATGGCGTCGTTGCCGTAATTGTTGCGGGTCCAGGTCCGTCGGTTTCGGCCGTAGGCCGTTTTCACTAAAGGGTGGTTTACTAAAGGGAGCTTTGTCCACCGCCGAATATTGAACCTCGAGATTGCGGGCAGTGCCTGGTAGTACCACGATGCCGTCCTCCTCTTCCTCCTCCTCCTTCTCTTTATCATATGTTTCTTCCTCCTCCATCCCTTTTTATTATAAGCTCCTCCGTCCTGTCTCACCCACGGACTTGTCATCAGAGCGGGCCATGAGTTTCGCCTGAGATTTCCTCGTCGTTTATGATCCTGAAGCTGGAAGTTTGCAGCTATTTCAGGGATGGGGGATCGCCGTAGCGCCACGAACATTATGTTAGACATTTTGCAACATATACAAGGATAGGGGATAGGTGGTTTTCCACATGTCACTGCCGTCCCAGCGTTCCGCACCTAAAGGTGGAGTGCGGTTCCGTTTTTTTTTTTTGTCAAACATTAGTTTTCGCCCCAACGCCTTGCACATTCGTTTTGAAAGTTTACGACCGTTTAACCGATTTCTCTGGTTCAAGTGCCAGGAACGGTGGTCTGGTACGGTTTCGGACTGTCAGGACGCAATAGTCGCGTTGATTCGTTGCGTTGAAGTTCCAGGAGTGTTATTCTAGCACGATTTAGGGTTGTCAGGGCGCGACAGTCACGTTGATCCGCGGCGTTGGATTCCCAGGAATGGTGTTTTTGACGATTGAGGGTTTCGAGATGGTTGGTTTCACGTGGGCCGCCGCCCAACATGAAAGTATGTCTTGTAGGAGCTTGCAAAGACGGAATTTGGACTGAGGGTGTATTGCAGTTTTGTTGATGCGTCTTGGGTTTACATGGGTCTTCGTCCTCCTCTTCCTCCTCCTCTTCCTCGGTGTACGAAGCCATTGTGGCGCGAAAATGGTTTCTTTTGTTTGGGCCCTTTCATGCTTGTTGTTCGCAGCTGCGTCTGTGGGTAAACGGGCCTTTCCAGTTCCTCCAGACCCTTGCACTTTCTTGCGATGGATGGTCCTCATGTTTGTTTCAACATAGTTTCAATGGTCGACTCCTGCGGCTCTTCTTGATACGTTCGAACCCACATTGCTCTGGTTCACAGATGGTTGCCCATCGCTGGGCAGGTTCACAAGCATTTTTCTGCTTCTTGGGCTGACATTTTTTGAGCTGCTGAGGCTCATCCCCGGCAGGCCGATCCTGAAAGAGCTGATTTGGTTTCGTCGGTCTATGTGACCAGTTTTGCTGCGGAGCTTGGGCGGCGGGCGACCGAGTTCTCTTGCAATTTACAGGCTACACAATTCACGCCTGCACCTGCACCTATTCCGCCGAGTGTTTTAGTCCTAGAACTTCGTTTGGATTCTTCATGACTGTATGACTCGTAGCTCGCGTCCTACACTGCTCTTGTTGCCGACCTGAACAATACGGTTGCGATTTTAAGATGCACGCCCAACCAGTGTCCCCCATCTTGTGGTGACGTCTCCGCCGGCCCTGCTGCGGGAATCTCAACGCAGGACCCTAACAGCGACAATGGGGCGGCGGGTTCTTCTCGAAACAGTCTTCGCGCGATCCGGCTTCGCCTGCAGGCTGGCAGCATGTAAAGTCAAAACGCATGATCAGGATGAGCAATTCTCCAAGTTCACCATTGCATCTTTGCTCCTTCGGCCCATCCTTGGCCACTTCCGCTGGCCGCGCCCCGCTCGAAAAACGTCTGCATGGCCTTCCAAGGCCCTTGCATCCTTACCGCGCATCCTTACTATTCAGTTCGACTGTATCTCTTCAGCGGCGAGTTCACGAGTTGGGTGGAAAGATGAATGCCAAGATTTCCATTTCCGTTGCCGTTGTTTAGTCGAAGGTCGGGCTCCCAAGCAAGCCCCGCGAGATGATGCAAGGCATGGCGCCGTCGATGTTTGACTCTTCGTTTTCCATTCCCTTGCAGCACATCGCGATTTCCCTGGACGATCGGCTGCTGAAGATTGTTGGTTCGATGTCCTCAGGTGAGAAACGGCTCGAGGGAGGGGGATATCAAGCAATCCCAACGACTTACTGGCTGAGGAGCTGGGCGCGGCCACCGAGCTCGCAAACTCCTTGCGCTCCGAGGTCAGCATCCCCTCCGCCCGCTTTAGAAGCTCGGAAGGTGTCCGCAGCGACTTTCTCCACCGCGGGCGGTGCGGTCCTTTGGCGTTGGCGCCTGCTAGACTGTAAGGGCTTGTCATCGGCCAGGTGGTGTTCTTGGCCACCCACAGGGCCGCGCCATTGACGAAGTCTCGTTCTCGGTCGAGTTCGGCCAGCGGGCATTCGATCATTGGCGTCTGGCATGGCCAGGGTCGAACCTCGTACCTCGCCCATCGAATACGGCAAGTTTTACGTGACATTGTTGAGAACGCGGTGGCCGAATTGATGGCAGTGTGGTTCGGCGATGTTGCAGACCCTTTGAGTCGTCGCTGGGCTCCTGGTCCTGTAGTTTCGTCTCCCGATGTTCTTCCGGAGTATGTGTTTTTTCGTCTGCGAGGCAATTCTGTGTGGGGCTTCCGCCGTCTCTCATTTCCCGCTGCGCGGGGACGCGGGGCCTCCGAGAGTAGACAAACATTAGTCACGCACCGCCGTGCTTTCTCAACCTCCTCCGTCCTCATCCTCTTCCGCGTGATATCAATGCCACCTCACCGACCTTCTTCTTCCTCCCAACTCCCCACCTTGCCTTCCTCCCATCCCCGTCCCATGCCGTCTTCCCGCGCGGGGTGGTCGCGGGCGCTGGCTTCGGCGTCGCCGTCGTCGGAAAACGAGGATGGGGAGAAAAGGGAGGGCAGGCTCGACAATATAGGCTTGAATTCTGCGTAACAGAATTATGTTGAAGTTGCCCGTGCTCCTCGGGCCGCTATCGCGGCCACAGTTGGGCCCGCTTGGCACTCTAGCCAACACGCACCCCGCGAGATGTCCAGAGGCCGTTTCTGGGAGGAGGGCGAGGGGGAAGGGGAGGGAGTGGGGGAGGGGGAGGAGAGGGGCGGGGAGGACGACGGGGGGGAAGGGGAATGAGTGGGATGGGGAAGACTACAAGGGGGACGAGGAGGCGGAGGATGAGGAGGGGGAGGAGGAACGCGGGGTGGAGGGGAGGAAGAGGAGAAGTTGTATCGCGGGTCGGAGGAGGGGGAACGCCATGCAAGTGGGGGCGGAGGCGGAGAAGCGGAGAGTAGTAGCGATAGCAGTTGGATGAGGAAGAGGAGAAGGATGGGAGGAGCAGCAGGAAAAGGAGCAGGAGAAGGAGGAGGAAGAGGAGGAATAGTAAAATGATGAAGGAGAAGGAAGATGAGGATCGCGAGGGGGGCGCGCGCGCGCGTAGGTTGCGGCGTGCCCGCAGGCAAGTGGCTTGCCGCACCTGCCCGCGTCGCCCAGACCGAGGCAGCGAAGCTTGCTTGCATATTTGATGCACGGCCTCCTCCTGCCAGCGCGCTTCTGCTCATGGCCATGCAAGTGAATTCCCTTGATCCTGCGGTTCTTGCCCTGATACTGCCATCTCCCCCTTTCATGCAGTTCAGTTGCTTCCCACGGATACTACTACCAAAGCTGCCGATATTGTTGGCATTCCGAGTTATGGTTCCACGACCGCTACGCTTTCTGACGGTCACAACATCATTGCCAACATGACTTGTACGAGTGCTTGTACCACTCTTTACTAGTTGCGACTGGCTCTACCAGCAGCTACTGTTACGACCTGCATTTCGACTATTGCTATGCGGCAGCCGAGGTATCCATCTCATATGAAGCTCCACCGCCGTCTCCTTACGTGCCACTTACCCCTCTTGATTATGCCTCTCCCGCCCCTACAAGGGCCTCTCTGGAGCGGCACGCGATGTCATGGACTCCCACGGGGCCCGTGCCTTGGAAACGCGCCATCCCGTGCGCAGGAGGAGAAACAACAGGAAGACGGGGGGTCAGGAATGCGACGGAGTATGACATCAAACGGGAGGGATTTGGCGAGGGGAGGGATGGGGAAGGGGAGGGAAGCAGGAGCACGAGAAAGGGGAGAATACGAGGGAAGAGTGATGAGTTGAAGAGTTGAGGAGGCGGAGGGAGGGGGAGAAGGTAGGGCACGCAGTCGAGATGGGGAGGGAAATAACAAGTGGCGTGGAGAGTTGGCGACGAGGAACAAGAACAGGAGGATGCGAGGGACGAGCAGGACCAGCATCAGTCACAGGAGGAGCACGGTTCCGCGGTCTGGGCTTTCTTGAATTGCCTGGCCGAAGCAGAGAGACATGGGAGGAGGGAGGACGACAGTCGTCGCATGGTTTGGAACACCATTTCCATGGGACTTTGTGCTATGTCCATGTGCTGACGTTGTTCACTGAGGTCATTGACTGGACGCAGCCCGGCTTCCTCCAGTTGCAGCTTACCTCTAGGCGAGGAGGGCAGCGCCGTCGATTCCATGCCCATGCTTGCATGCGCAGCAGCTGCAATGTTTCCTCCTCGCCAGAAGCCATTTCCAGTTGATCCACGACTTGTGTCTGTGATGTCCAGCCGTTCGACCTCCGAGGAAATACTCTGGAAATCTGGACTCCCGGGTTCCCGGTCAGGCCCGCGGCACACCGGCCGCATACCCTGGGTACGTATTTGGGGCCCCAAGCAGTGGAGCCTTCGGGGCCTTTACAGGCGACACATACGGTCGGACCGAGGTAGAATATCGAGATCGGTCCGGGGAGGGTGCCCTAACGTTTTTCGGGTTCGTTGGGTGTTCTTGTGCATCCTGGGGGAGGGCACCTTCGAATGTTCTGTAGTTAAGCCGGCGCAGGCTCTCATGTCCTTCAAGGATGTTCTTCTGTCCAACGTCCTTCCGTAGGAACCCACGGGCCCACGGAGCCCACGGGCCCACGGAGCCCACGGGCCCGACGAGACGGATAAAGATGATTTCAGGACGGCCCGTGAGGCCACCAAGTAGCTCCCAATGCGCACCAGCAAGCTCCTCCAGGGGCCCTCCAGAGGCAAAGGTCGCTGACGTTCCCTACGTGTTTCCCCCCCCCACACACACACACAGCTTGTCTGGAAGGGTCCTAAGGCCGGGTGTGAGGTCCTTAGGGTCCGCCATCGGCGGCCCAGCGTCCGCGGTCTCTTTGATGGTCTCCCATATGGTCTCCTGTATGGTCTCCAGCTCGGTCTCCAGTATGGTCTCCGAAAGGTTTCCCGTATGGTTTCCCGTATGTTTATTCCTCGTTCTTCGCATGGTCACCCTTGCAGTCTCCCGTATGTTCCCCCGCAAGGTATCCCACATGTTCTCCCGTAAGGTCTCCCCTGTATATGGTTTCTTTGTTTACAGCTTCTCGCAATGTATCCTGCATGGTTTCCCATCTACTTTGCCCCGACCTTGAGGAGGGGGTCCCGTTGTGTGTTCCCCGGGGGGGTCTGGGGGGGATCCCCCGGGACATGGCCCCGGACAAGCGACGAACGCCGGCAGAAGTCCGGCGGAAGACGGCCCAAGATGACCCGCAAGATGGTCCAAGAGAGCCATGTGCCGCCGATTGAGCAGTCTAGACGGCCCAGGGAGCCCCCAGGGCGGTCCAGGTGGCCTCCAAGAGGCTCCCTGCGAGAGCCCCAAGAGTCAACATTTATCAGTTATCCTAAGGATTTTGAAGGTTTTTCGCGTTCTCACCTGTTCGGCTTCCCGACGCCCGAAGACGACCCAAGACACCCCAAAGATCCCCCAGAGACTGCCTAAGAGGCCCCCAAGACAGCGCCCAAACGGTCCAAGACGCCCTCAAGACAGCCCCAGAAGCTTCCAAGACGGCCTCAGAAGGCCCCAGGAACGCCCCAAGAGAGCCCCCAGAGAGGAGGCAGGGACCGACATTTCGGGCTCCCCGCCCAAAGAGATCCCAGGAGGCCCCAAGAGGTCCCCCTAGAGGCCTCCAAGAGACCCGAGAAGCCTCGAAGACGCCTCCAGGAACCCCCCAGAAGCTTCCAAGACGGCCCCATGACCCCCCCAGAGAGCCCCACAATGGCTTGTGACGCCCCGACAAAGCGTCGCAGCCCCAAACGGATAACACGGGAACCAACGTCACTCGCAATATGGGCATCCTCTTCTTTGCTGTTCTCTTGCTCGAAAGTCACGCCCATGTGTCCTTCAAGAGGTCTCCCAAGAGACCTCCAAGAGTCCACACTCATTGATTTCCTTCAGTTCTTGTCAGTTTTTCTCCGTCTTCGGCACTCTGGCTTCATAACGCTCCAAGACGGCCCGAGGGACCCCACATAGTCCGGCGTCAAACGGACAACACGGGGGAATCCGCATTATGCGCCCTATAGGCATCCTCTTCTTTGTTTTTCTCTCCCTTGCAAGTCACGCCAACTTGTCCTCCAATGTCGGGGTTCGTGGCAATATCAGGTTCCCGTATGGTGTTGGGTCCTCGTTTTGAATGCGCATCGGCCTGCGTCCTCCTCTTCTCGTCCTCCTCCTCTCCTCCTCCTCCTCCTCCTCCTCCTCCTCCTCCTCCTCCTCCTCCTCCTCCTCCTCCTCCTCCTCCTCCTCCCTCCTCCTGCTCTTCCATCTGCCTTCCGCATGTCCGCTTCGGCACACCCCTCACACGCTTCGTTGCTCAATTGGGAGCTCCAGCTAAGGCCACAGTTCAAGGGCCCGCATACCTGGTCCACAACATGTCGGCGCACCCCTCACATGTTTCGTGGCCCCAAATATCCACCCAGATCGGCCCGGAATGTGCAAAGGGGAGCCCATGAAGCTGGTATTGTATTGTGAACCCTGGAACCCAGCCGCCCACCGAAATCGGCTTGACATTTTCGCAAACACGTTCAGTCTTCGCTAGGACCCCCGCCCCCCCCCCAGTGTAACCAATTTGTTGAAGCCAAAACTATGGGTTTCGCAATATTGTTCTTCAATCAAACATCTCTGAGCGCGTGCTCATCCGAGTTTTTCTGGACACTACGGGTTCCCAACATCTCATCGAATGCGACCACGCGGGCGCTTCGCGCTCCCATGCCGAAATCATCCGAACGCCCTTGCACGCTTGCGGCGGGCACGATCCCGATCAAACAGCATCATGCGGGCCACGCGCGCGTCTGCCGCGCGCGACTGTCACAATCTTTCTGCAGCCTTCATCGCCGACAAGTGGACGCCACCATGCTCATCGACGTGATCAGCATCGGCGCCGTCATTGGCCGTGCCGTCGTGATCGCCATCATCGTCATCATCATCGCCACTGGCATCATCTTGTCTGCCGCTGTCGACGTTGCCATGGCACCACGCCCGTCCGACTTGCCGACTCGCAGCGAGGCGCCCGCGCGCCAGCGCGACCTGCAAGACTCGCTGGGAAGTCCGTAGCGGTCAGCGCCACCGCGGCCGCATCGCTCGCGCCAGACAAGCTGGCCGCTCGACGCGCGAGCCTGCGCGCGCAAGCGGGGCCGCAGCGATGCGCCAGCCAGCGCCGAGCAGTCACCGTAATCTCCGCCGCATTGGATTTACAATCAAAAATAGCGGGCGGGTGGGCGGGTGGGGAGATTTCGCGAGCAGTGGAGTTGAGAAGTCATTGCGAACGCCCAGGTTCTCCTTTTCGATACAGTGAGTAGGATCTCCCCCCTTGGTTTGCCGCTTCTCTTTTGGGGTCGTGCAATTTGCATGTGAAGATGCCTTCTCGTTCGTGTGCGCGTAATTTCGTAGCATCCCAGGGAGAATCCTCATCGTCATCCCCGTCATTAACAAACAACTCCACGTTGCAGGAAGCCCTTGCAGAAACAGGAAACAGCGTGACATTGCCCACGCGCGCGTTGTCGCGTGCGCGCGCAGATTTGTTTCAGATGCCTTCGGTCCCAGAAGGGGTTTCAAGACCGAGGTTCCGGAACGCACCCAGCAAACATGGGTTTCGCAACCCCATGTTTCAAACAGATTTGTTTGGTGCGTAGGGGGGCCTTGCAAGAGGCCTCAACCCTGCCGAAACAACTAGCACGCGCAACTGGGTTTGTACCCCAGGGGGAGTGGACACAAGGTCCCATGGGATTCACGGGCTACATGGCCCCACCTCTCCACCAAATGCGCGATCCCTGTGCCTGGAGCCCAAATCCAGTGCCACGGGCGCTGCTGACGCCACCAGGTGCAAGGCGAGGACGCCAAGCCGCTTGGTTCACAAAGAAAACGGCCGATTGCACCTCACCCAGCTGGCGGATAAAGCTCATGACAGCGTGCCACGTAGAGTGTGTGTGTGGCGTTGACCATGAAAACAGGTGCCAGGCCCCCACCTACGGGAAGAGACATGAGGAGGAGGAGGAGGAGGAGGAGGAGGAGAAGGAGGAGGAGGAGGAAGAGCAGGACGCGAGCCGCCGCCAGGGGCCGACCACTTATGCATGGCGGGCGGAGCGCTGGACCCATGGCTTAGTGTCCGCCGATCGCGTGATCGCCGCTCGCTGGTCACATGGGGCGTTGCAGACAGTGGCTTGGCCCTTGACGGATCGAGAGCTTGACGTCTCTGTCTCGGACGAATTTGGCAGAAGTGGCACGACTGCTGCTGGCGGAAGACGGCGGAAGGTCGGCGCAGAGTCGGCGAACGTAAGAGTGAGGTGTCGACATGTTCCAAGCAGTGTTTGCATTTAGGGATCCTCATTTCTGTTGCTTGTGTATGTGGATGTGGTTCCCGGGTTTTCGCCACGTTGGCGCCCGTGCCCGCCCGTGGGCGCCTCGTGGGCGCCCCGTGCGATGGGCAGGCTTCCTCAGATTTCGCCTCGATGGCGCTCGTGCCCGCCCGTGGGCTCCTCGTGGGCGCCCCGTGCGTCGGGTGGTGGGCTTCTGACGAGTCGCGGCGTTGGCGCCCGTGCCCGCTGGTGGGCTCCTCGTGGGCGCCCGTGCTCTGGCTGGGTTTCCCGAGGGTTCGCCGCTGTGGCCCGCCGTGCCCGCTCGTGGGCGCCCCGTGGGCGCCCTCTGCGCTTGCATCAAGCAGCTTGCACAACATAGCTTACACTACGTAGCTTGCACCACATAGCCTGCAACGCATAGCTTACACATAATCTCTTATCATCTAGATTCCATGTATTAGTTTACGCCACATTGTTACATGGTTCACACCACGTAGCTTACACACCATGGCTCACACCATAGATCGATCACCCCACAGATCTGTTACAGCGTAGCTAGCCCCACATAGCTTGCGTACCATAGCCTGTGTTTCACAGCCCACACCGGAACGCTTACGCAACGTAGTTTACACCACATAGCTTGCACGGCATAGTTTGCACCACATGTATTACACCGCAAGGTTTGCACAGCATACCTTACACCACATAGCTGACACGACATAGCATGCACCTCAACAGTGCAATGTCTCACTGTTTTGGGTTACGTTGGCCATCATTTGCTCATTCAAGATTCCCCGAGTCGGCCGCAACAGTCGGATGTCCGCGCGATTGCCATCACGATCGTCGGCCTGCGATCAGTACGATCATGCGCGGTGGTCGGCGGCGCGGTTGGAGATCCGATCTGATCACGCGAACTGTGGGCGTGCTGAGCCCAGCGGTTGGTCAGACACCGAAGGACTTGCGGCAGCTCGAGGCGAGGATTGGCTCAGACGGCCGCGCCCTCGATATGATCGCGACCATCATGACCCAGGAGCTCCCCGCGCCGAGCCTCTGGGTGCGGCGTGCCCTCCAAGACTCGAGGGTCCGCTCCGCGGGGGCACACCTGACTGCCGCTGCCAGAACTTCGGGGCCGCTTGAAGGATCCTCCCCGAGCTGGGAGGCGCCAAGGGCGGAGCCGCGCCGGGAGCATGCTCCCTGAGGCGACGGAGAGGACGGACCCCGTCCAGGAGAGCCGGCGGCGGCACGTCCCAACCAGTCCCGAGTGACGCGGAGTAGCGTCAGGGCCCCTGGGGCCAGGAAATCGCAAGCCAAGGCTCTTGCCTGAAGATCCCACCTGGAGGAAACGAATATTCGAGAACGGTTCGACCCAGGACTGCAGTAGCCGCGGGTGCGCCAGAGTCCCGATTTATCAAAAAATCCTTGGGCCTTGAGGGGGATGATCCAGTGGGAGAGCTCCCAGCTCCTCTTCACTTGCGCCCCGCCCGTCCGCTCCAACCTCGCTGCCACTAGCTGAGGAGGGACAGCCTGTGCTGGGGAAGGGCAAGGCTGGGGGAGAGGCCGTGGCGCGGTGCCATGCCGTGTGATAAGGGGGGCCGGGGCGGAGGGGACGTTGGGGGAGGTGCGGGGCGGGGCGAGGGACGGCCGCGGGGGAGAGAGAATGTTGTTCAGCGGGGATTATGGCTGGGACAGAAGTGAACAATCGACTCGGCCACCACAATGGCAGCTTGCCTCATCTACTCTGTGTCCACTTTGTGCCCCAGGAGGCCCAGGCATCAGAGCAGCGGATCGAGGAGCTGGTGATCGAGAAGCAGGCCCTCGAAGTGGAGCTTCACCGAGTGAAAATAGAGGACGCGCCTTCCCGCCGAATTTGTTTTGCCTGGGAAAGCTCGGTGCCCGGACGGACCCCCGACGTCATGAGTTTCTCATAACGTCGACCCCCAAAGGTCTCTATCGAGTCTCTCCGGTCTCGAGGCCTGGTGAGGGCCCCCCAGAGGCTGAAAGTAGCTAGAAACGCTTCGCTACCGTCCGTCGTGATTTTTTCATGCCTCGAGGGGGTCTGGGTGGTATCATCTCCCATTCTGCGTTCACTCGTGCCGTCAAGGGCCCTGGGCGCCAGCGGACAAGCGTGGGCCTGCCGCAGCCCTGGCAATCCGCCGACGAGCGAGCGGCCGAGATCGGGCGATGCTGCAGGCGAAGGCCGCCGACCCAGACGCCCTGGGCTCCCGCGAGGCCTCCACAACTCAGCAGTCATGGGAGCTTTGCGTGTCCTCGAAAGTCTCTCTGTAGAGTGCACTAGCGTTCGCTAGCGTGTGGTAATCGATGGGAGAGCGCCGATGTGGCGTCGATTGGCGCCGATTTAGCGTCGGTGCGTGTCGGTTAGCCTCGACTAGCGTCGATTCGCACTTGCCAGGAAGATGGCATGGGAGGCTCCCATGAGTTGCCACCGAACCGTCACCAGGCGCCCCAGGCCCCCGCGCGGGGTCCAGCACGGACAGACCCAGATCCGAGGCTCCGAAAAAGTTGGAGCGGTTGCTGTTTGGCCGTGTTCGGCCTCCGGGTGCCTTCGCCAGGCCCTGGGACCGTCAAAATGTTTCGGGACGAAACGCTGGCCTTGAGGAAGTTCTCCAGACCTCCAGGGGCCCACGCATCGAAACCATGGAAGCGGCGAGTCGGGGCCTCCTAGATGGGGTCAGAGTAGATGGGGTCGCAGGATCGCGCCCTATCGCCGATGCATCGGCGATGCGGCGCGATGTGAAGCCCGATGTTCTGCACGCCGACGTCGCCGATGCATCGACGACGTTGTCGATGCATCGCCGATGCATCGGCGATACATCGGCGATGCGGCGCGGTCCTCCGACCCCATCTACGCGGACGCAAGTCGGGAGATTGGGGCAAGCTTGCAGGTCGGATGCTGGGAATGCGCCATCTGCTTACGTCTCTATTGCGATCTCTGTCGAGACTGACACGTTTCCCGCATTTGGCATGATGTGTTGCTTCTTCTGCTGAAGCCACCCTTCCATATTCGCGCCTGGTGCGTCGATGGCAGTTGTCCACGCGGAAGATGGGCACGCGCAATGTGTTCTCGCTTCTTTTTCCGAGTCTCAGATATCATGGTTTGTTTGTCGCGCTTGGGTTCCAATGGCTGGATTCTGGGCTGGGATGTGCTCGTTCCATTGCCCGCTGGCCCCATTTTTCGCACTGCCCTGTGGCCGCTTGGGTCCCCTCGGCTTCAGTGCCATGCCGACTGGCCCTGCTTGCCACATTTCAGTGTGGCCGCTTGGTTTCCTGTGGGTCTTGGGTTTGTATAGGCTCACATGGGCTCCACGCGAAGGGCTCCACACGCACTGGGACCCACGCACATCGGATTGCGTACGTGTGGCTACACGTATTGCGCTCAACGCACGGAAAGCTCCGCATACTCAGGGATCCGCACATGGGGTTCCATTCGCATCCAGTCCCCCCACACATAGGGTATATAGGCTTCAAGAGCAAAAGGTTCCACGAACAATGGGTTCCACCCATCGACGTACGCGCACACCCATGGTCCACGCATATTGCCTCACGAATCCTTGGGGACAGCGCCAAAGACCCAGAGTATTGTTAGAGCACGTGGGTCCCGCCAGCTGCGGGAATCATCGGTTGCGCCACAGGCCCATGGCCTCCACTTCGTCGCCCAAAGTCGCAGGCGAGTTGGATCTACATATATATATATATATATATATATATATATATATATATGTTATCCTAGTACCTCATTGATCTAGAGCTCGTATCATAACTGATGTCGTCAATCCTACAGTGTTCGTCGGATAAGATGAGCTCTGTCCCACCTTCTTCTCGAGCTCATCTTCATGATCTCCCCCCCCATCAACCTGTACGTCATCCTAGGCATCCTCCTTCTCACCATGCTCCTCTCCCTTTGGAAGTGAAGGTCACCGTTAAGAACGTTGTGGGAGCAGCACCTTGATGTGCGAGAGGGCCTAGAATCATGGCGAGGGAGTCTATTGTGGCAACCTCGTCCGCTCTCCCCCCATCCTGAGAGCCGAACAGCAGAGGCAGCGCATGCAAATGCTATGGATTGCTTGAGTCTGAGTTCGCGATTGGATTCTCAAGTCGGGGTGCTGGGCAGCAGCAGTTCTACCAGCTTCGACGGTGACTGGGTACCCTGTTTTGATGAAGGGTCAATTTGCTCTCGTTGTGATCATATGTTTCACCCGCTTGGCGACCACTGGCCGCTCAATTACATTACTAATCCCCGTTGCCTGGTGTCCTCCTCGTCCTTCTGCGCCTCCTCCCCTGGACCGAACTCCCTGCGCAAGGTCCGCCCCGCTCTGTCTCTTCCGCACGTCGGCCCCAGCGCTGGAGACAGGGTGCCTCCTCGAGATCCGAGGGCATCAGCACTACGGTGGGGGCGTCCGTTCAGGAATGTGCCCAGGAGGCTTCAGACCTTCATCTGTCGGGGCTCAAGAGACGGGGGTTAATGCAGACGGGGGCCAGTCAGAGCGACGGATCTTTCAGGATTTCGCAGGGCTAAGAGAGCACTGATCGGGGCTTGGGTGCAGGATCCTTGAGGAGCTTGCATGATCCTGCGAGGCTCGACTGACCTGGTTCTGGATTGACCCCGGTCAGCAGACCCCCGAATTTGATGAGGGCGGCGGTGGTTTCCATGACCGAGCCTCGGGGGGTGCTCCACACGGTGTCCAGACCCTGGGCCCCTGATCCCATGGGCCCTCAACCAATGCCCTCGTCGTGGCGGAATGGCTCCAGCAAATGCGGCACGTGGTCGGGTCGTGTCTGGCCGCTGCTGGGCAGTGTTTCGAATTTGCTGTAGAGAGGCGACAGAGGATGATGAGAACGCGCAGGAGGAGGAGGAGGAGGAGGAGGAGGGCTTGGAGAACGGGAGGTGCTGAAGTGATTATGTCGCAGTGCCAGTGGTTATGATTATCCCGACGGGTCCTTCCCAACTTGGTCGCATGGTGCATGGCGATCGCCCGCTGACGCAATGTTGGTTTCTGTACATGTTGCGAAGCGGTTCATCCATAACCACCGCTTGAGAGGTCGATCATCGGTGACCACGACAGGCTGTGGATATGGATATATTCGGGTCCGTGGGGCAATCATGTGTTCATATCCGCCGCTCGCTGTGGTCACAGGGCGTCGATTCCACAAGCGGTGGATACAGATTATGCCCACATCCAGCACATGTGAGTTGCACTATGAGACGCAGTGATGGGGTTGACCATACCCCCCAAGTTTGTGTATCAATTCTTGGATCCGGAACGGCGTGCTGTTCTTTCGAAATGTTCGAGTCGGTGTTTTACCGGTGGAGGCAGGTGGGCTCAGCAACGGCTCCCAGAACATCATGCTGCGTGGATCACCGCTCGACGCAGGAGCAGTCAGCGCGGTGGCAGCGACGGGTACCACCACGCAGGCGCCGTGTCACGGGAGACAAGCGAGGGATTGTGCAACTCCGCGGGGTGCCATGGGGCTCGCTTCCGCCCCAGCCATCTTGCTTCCCGTCGCTCTTGCAACCGTATTCCAGTTCAGTTGCCTGTCTCTTTGCGTCCAGGCCAGGAACATCTCCGTCCTGCGCTCTCCCTCATGCTGCTGGTCGGGCTCCTGCGCTGTGCTTCGTGGGGGTACTCGCAGGGGCCTGGACTACAGTTCGGTGCCGCCTCGTTGCTTCATCCGACCAAGCGCTTCAGGATCCCACTCGCTTCATTCTGAAAGGCTTGGACATCAGCCTCTCCGTCGTCTCGCCTTGATGATGACGTCCGCACTGCAGGCTTGCATTCCGGACCACTTCCCGCAGTGCGAGGTGGAGGACCACCAGGACCACGCGTCAGCAGCCCCTGCGTCGCTGGAGAGAGCGCGCTGTTCATCCAGGACGCGGCTTTTGGTGACCAAATACGATGGGGGCTGGAAGACGGCAACACAGGATGACCAGAGAGTCCGAGGCCCCAGGACGTTGAGAGATCCGATCTTGAAGATTACCGCCTTGGAGGTGGAAGGTGAGGCCTCACGCCTTGAGGTCTGGATTCTCTGGGCGCTCCCTCTGGCAGCCCTGGGGCCATGGCGATTCCCCCTGTGTGTGACCTTCAGAAGCTCGGGGCGCGAGTGATTTCACGAGGTTCCAGGGAGAGACCTGACCCCCTCCTCCCGCGCAGCCACCCCTTCCGAGCCAGAAATCCTTCTGGCGCGGTAAAGTGTCCCATCTCCTAAGTTCAGTTATTCCCCTGCAAAGGGCTCGGTTGTCAAGAACTTATGCCTCATGGCGGCGGCTGAAATTATAGGGATGCGCTGTGCTGGAAGAAGAGTTTCAGACAGCAGGAGGGGAGGGCAGACAGCATAGGCATACGGCCAGTGCGAGGGGGCTGAGAGCACAGAAGTGGTAGAGGACAGAGAGCAGGAAAAGAGTGCCAGTGGAAGAGCGGCAGAACGCAAGACGGAATGGGGGGTTATTTATTTGTTTCTTGTCCTCTCCAGCACCGAGGGGGACCAGGTGGAGCAGGAGGGGGGATGACGAGGAGGGGGGAGGCGGCAGGGCAACAGTGCGGAGGAGAGAGGAATGGGGTGAAAGTTGGGGAGGAGGGGAAGGAGGGGGAGGAGGAGGAGGAGGAGGAGGAGGGAGGAGGAGGAGGAGGAGGAGGGTGGAGGGAGGGCAAGGATGAGGGAACGACCGGGAAGACGGATATAAAGTGAAGGAGCAGCGGCGTAGGAGGAGAGATGACGATGTTCCTTCGCGGGGTGTTCCAATCTCTGACCATTGCCCCGAGCATACCCAGAGCCACGTAATGTCTAGGCTCTTCCCCTCCCGACCCAGACACGTTCGGTTGCCATTGTCAGCTTTAGAAGTCCAAACCTGAAACTGGACGTTAGCCTGCAAGCTGGAAGCCTAACATCTCAATACTTGTTGCCCTCTTCAGAAGCGCGTCGCGCGTTTCAGGCAGCCCAGCGTGGTGCTGGCCGCAGAGGCTATGACCTCGAACGGCATGAGCTGGACCGAGGGTATCAGGAGCCGCCTTGTAGACAAACGGTACGCGCAGGCGCACAGCGGCTCGTGGCGCTGGTCTCGCTCGCACAGCCTCCCTCGCACACTTGCGCGCAGCCCGGGCAGTGCACTCAAAGCTCCGCGTTGCGACTCGACGTATCGCAGATCACCTCGCCATGAAGTGCGGCGTTGCGCCACATTGCATACGCGCGCGCACGTCGAGTGCCATCGTGCGAGCGGTTCGCGCGCCTTCAGACATTGCAAGGTTTGTGGGCCGCAGAGACGTGCAGCTGCCCAGTAACGCAACAGTGCCAGTTACTGGCTGCACTAACGAACAGACGTCCAGCTTTCTGAATGCACCCGAATGCAGCGAAACGGAAAATACACCCAGCTTGACCAGTCGTAAGTGGCATAGCACGAGCTGAGCCGAACGTGTAAAAGGGTCACAGGCCGCTCCGTGTCTGAGAGCCAGGGAGGCGAAGGCGCAATAATAACACTACGCATGCAACGGTCACGTACTTGAGCGAGCAAGGGCATGCATTCGGTACATGATCAGAGTAGGGGGGCCAACCGGTTCTACACTGTCCTTAGGTCCGTGGCTGAAGTGGGCTTCCGCGGTGTGGATTATTGTTATCCAAATAGGCTTACCCTATAGGGCTTCTAACTCAAACCACACTAATTGGTCCGTTGCCCTCCCCCCCTAATTCCTATGCCCCCCTAATTCCTATGGCTATGCCTATGCCTATGCCTACGCCTCCCCTCTAACTCCTACGCCTATGCCTATGCCTATGCACCACCTCTGAGCGCTCCCATGCCTATGTCTATGCTTATGCCTATGTTTCTAATTCATACTTGCTTGCGTAATTGCTTGCTTGCGCGCTTGCTTGCTTGCTTGCTCGCTCGCTTGCTTGCTTGCGCGCTTGCGCGCTTGCACGCTTGCTTGCTTGCTTGCGCGTTTGCTTGCACGCTTGCTTGCTTGCTGAGTTGCGGATTCCAAGCATGTCTAATTCCACTGATTCCTTGATTTGAATCGTCTAATCTATATGGAGCCAACGCTGGTTGATATTGAATTCTCACCTCTGAGGACAATTCTGTTTGTTTCCCTTTGTCCTGCGCGCCATTCATGGGGTTTCAATAGAAGTGCCCCCCCCCCCCGGGGCTCGCACCTTGGTCAGTTTTAAGGGGAAGTTTATAGCTCAAATTGCGCTGTTGACCCACGGACTACCAACACATCGTCTCCCGCCCAGCACTTCATCATGATTTGCTCCAGTCGCGATTTCGCTTGAGATATCCTCGCAATATGTGTAATTCTACCGCACTCTCGCCTGGGAAGTTTTCGCAATTTCCTAAGGCGCTGCGAACTCGACGTCCATGAAACGCGCTCTCGCAAGTGACGCCCTCGCAATTCATCTAGAAATCGCGCTGTCGCCTGGGACTTCCTCGCAAATATTTCTCAGACGCTGCGCGCTCGACGTCTACGCAACGTGTTCCAGTGCGAGATGTCCGAGCAAGTTGCTCAGGAACCGCGCTACCGCCCGAAGCCTTTTCGCAGTTTGCGGAGCTCGCTTCATTGCCCCGCTCTCCCGTCAGGGCCTGCCCTCCCGACCCGCCCGTCATGGTCCGCCCGTCGGGTCTGCTGGTGAGGGTCCGTCTGCTCGGTGGCCTGGAAGCCCGCGCGATCGTTGCCAAGTGTCACTGCCCATCCGGCCCTCCCAAACTGCGCCCCTGGCCCTCGGACGATGGCCACAGCGACTCTCGCCTGATAGGTATGTCCTCACATGTTCTTTTTCAGCAGCCGCTCTATCGCCTGAGACGTCTTCGCAGTTTACCCAGAAATCGCGCTCTCGCTCGGGACTTCCGAACATTTTAGTCAGGCGCTATGCCCTCGACGTCTCGGAATCGAGCTCTCGCACCGACAACATCTTCAACGTGTTTAAGAATCATGCATTCGCCTGAAGCTTATCCACAGTTTACGAAATTTGCTTCAATGCTCCTCCCACCCGTGAGGGCCCGCCCGTTGGAGTCCGGCCGCCCGACCCGCCCTCCTCTAGGGTGCGCCTGTCAGTCCTCCTGTTTATCGGTCCGCCCCTTCCTGCCGTGTTTTTGCTCGCCCAGTTGCTCTTGCCCCCTCCCCTCTCGTTTCCCCTCGTCCTCGACCTGTCCCATTCTCCCGTCTCCCTCCTCTTCCTACAGATCAGGGACCGCGCGAATTACACGTGGCAAGCAAGGAAGAGATCCCCCCCCGCGAAGGGGGTGGGGGCGACCGAAGACGGAGAGGGCGGGGGCTGAGGCTTCCTGTGACCTCCAGAGGCCCCTGGGGGCTCGGTTAGGGCCAGAAACATGTCGGAAAGCCTCCCCCCTCGACCGACCAGGGTCGAGGGCAGAATGTGGCAGCCCCATCATCGCACGCAGGCAGCAATTTCCTGCATCGGGCGACGAAATCATTCCAAATTTCGTAGTCAAAGGGAGGGGGTCACACCCCTCCCAGACGAGGAGTCCTGACCCCACATACCAGCCACGAAAGGGCGGCCTATTGCCCAGACCCCACTGCAACCTTCCAAGACAGCTCAAATGCGACCCCCCTTCAAATGTGACCCCCACACTTTGTTATAAAATCCGTAGTACATATCCAGTGCTCCCAGGCCAGGCCCATCCTGAACCCAGGAGCTGTGCATACGCCCTCCTGGCAAAGCCAGGAGGGCGTGGCGTACACACCGCTACTGAGTTCAGCATGGGCCTGGCCAGGGAGCAGTGGATATGTATTGAATTCGTCGCCCTACTGCAGGCATCGGAACCGCATCTGCCGGCCGGGCAGGACCCGCGGCAACCGCCTGTTGGTCCGCCCGGGCGCCGCGGAGCCCGCGGCGGCGGCGTCCGCTCCGCCGGGCGCGGCCAGGTGCCCCACCGGTTGCGAAAGCTCCTTGGCGGTCGAGATTCGCCCCTCTTCCCCCACTCAGAGGAGCAAGGGGGTATGTGCATCCTCTTACCGTAGACACGCGAACAGCGATGTAGTTAGGTAGCGGCGATCTTGGTTTCGGTATTGCAGATTTGGGTGGTCCGTGGCCGACCCACTTGCAGGAAAGCGTTGTGCGTGGTTCCTTACAGCTTGATTCGCGCAGGTCCGGCGTCGCAAGAACCATCTTCCCAGCATCGCCGTGAATCAGCATCGCCGTTAGCGTGGCCTTGGTGTCAGAGGAGCCATGAGGTCATGGTAATGAGACGTTCCAGGATTCCCCCGGGATCTCCAGCAGGAGTCCTGCTGCTTCCCACGGGCTGAAGAAACGCGGGCCGCCAGCCACTCCAGGACTCCTGGAAGGCACCGCGGGCCAAGCGCACTGTGACATCACTCTCGTACCACCCTCCACGGCGGGCGCCTGCGCGCGAGGCGGCCCAGTCCCGTCGGCCGCTGCGGGGCAGGAAGGCACCTCCCCACCCGCCCGTTCCGCTCTCCCCCCCTCATGCCCTCCTCGGGGGTTGCCCCAGGATTTCCACGGCGCCCCCGCGGCATCTCGAGCACCCCTCACGAGGCCAAGACGGCCCCAGGGGCTCCAAAGTGGAGCAAAGATCTGGGGACCCCTTTGCCCAGGGAGCCATTCTTATTCTTCTTCCTTCCCGAAACAACACATACATGCGACGTTTCGGTTTTTCCGAAACACGGGCCCCCGACCTCTCGACCTTTTTCCTTGGACCGCTTTTACGTACCCGAGTTTGACGAAAGGCCCGGCAAGGGCCCCGTGCGCCGAAAAGGAAAAACAACAGCTTCCGCTTCGAGTTGTTCGAGACACCGGATACAGTCGGACCGAGGTATAAGATCGAGGCCGGTTCGGGGAGGGTGCCCTAATGTTTTTCGTGTTCGTTGGATATTGGATGTTTTTGTGCACCCTGGGGAGGGTACCCTTTGGTGTTCTGTGTGTTTTGGCCGGCGGAGAGTCTCGTACTCTTGAGTGATGCTTTTCTGTCCTGGGTTCGATTGGAGGGCCATTCTCTCGCCGGTGCCCTCCTCTCTGGGGGCCACTCTCTTGCGGCATTTCTCCGGCCTGGCGCTCTCTCGGAGCCGTGCCGGCCTCGGGAGGGGGGAGTGCGCCCCGTTGGAGCGCCCGTGCAGTAGAGCGCTGGGGTCCCAGGGATCTTGCGTGTCGACGAAATCGAGGCGGGGGTTTCCCATCGTTGTCGGCCTCTCGGGGCCCTTGCTGGGCCTCGGAACCGTCAAAAAGTGGCTCGTGGTGAGAGGTGAGAAACCGGTCCAGGGGAAGTGGTCGAGAGGTCGAGGACCCTTTTCGTTATCATTCTTCCCCACGGTGGGGTGGTGGGAAGGGGGAGGGAGGTCCGAGTCTCACGATCGCTGTGACCCTGGACATCTGGCGCACTGTTTATGTCGATCCGCGGGCCCCAGAACTCGGTAGTTTCTTCGTCCAGGCACATTTCCATGGCCCTGGGTCCGAGGAAGGTCTCCAGAGGCCGAGATGGATAAGAAACGTTTGGACTGAAACAGTCGATCCGCCCGAAGCCTGGGCGTCTGTCCCTGGAGGGGGACGCCGAATCTCACGATCGCTGTGGTCGTGGGTGCCCTTGCGTGTGCAGGTGTTTCCAGGTCGTCCAGCCCCGGGTCTGCTCCACGGAGAGAGTCGTGTACGTTTCGAGGAGCGGTTTTTGCCAGGGGATGGGAGCGTAGGAGGCGGAGGGGGAGTTGATGGAGGAGGAGGAGAGAGCAGGCGGGCGAGAATACACTCAGGGACGTTTGCGTGGCGTGTCGCACCGCCATTTCTGGCCCACCACCCTTCGACGCAACATGCTGAGTTTGTCCTGGTCCCCAGCGTCAGCGTCCTGAATTTTTTCCTGTGTCCCGTCCCATGGACCAAAGCGACACGCTCCCAGCTATCAAGGCATAGCGCGTCGTCGGGACCGCCGCCGCGACACGCTAAGCAAAAGTCCATGACACAAAAATGTTTGAATATTTAAACATTGTGCTTTCATCATAAGCAGAAGTACTTGTGAGCTCGTCGGGACCATAGATGGCTGACAGGATAGGGGGTGGAAGAACAACTGAGCAAACGTAGGGGGAGGGAGGATGAGGAGGAGGTAGAGGGAGGAGGGAGGAGGGAGGGGAAGGAACATGACGAGATGCTGCTGATGATTCTGCTGCTGCTGTTGAGGAGGACGAACAGGAGGAAACTGACGAAAATTCCGTCGCCATTTTGGCTCAAGGCTGAACAGTGTGAAGGGCTATAGACGCCCGACAACCAGTGATTAGTTTCGAAGTATCCGTCGCGTGGCCTGAGGGAGGATAGGCATTTGCGCCTTCCTCATAATCCACGCCGCTCTTTCACGACCCAGCCCACCAGTCTGTCTTTCTCGTGGGTGTCTCAGTCTTTCGAGGCGGAGATGGCCAGCCATGGCGCGCAGGTCCAGACACCCGCCAGAGCTGGAAGATCTCTTGCCCGATCGCAAGAAGACCTCGGCAGTCCGAGCATGGCGCAAGTTGCTAAGGTTTATGGTTTCGGGAACGCGAATCTTGCGTAATGTTCAAGGGTTTGTTGCTTCGGGGACGCAAGCATTACGTAAGTTACGAGGGTTGGTGGCCTTGGGGACGCGACCATTGCGCAATGTATGACGCATTGTGGCTTCGGGGGCGCGAGACTCATGTATTGTTTACATCCCCGCTACGAAAGTTAATTCATCTTGGCTGAAATTGACATGTGTGGGCGCTGTGGTGAGAAGTGGTATGGGAGTGATTATTCCTTGTGGTTTCATACGGGGAGAGATTCAGAGTTGCCTGGAAGTGACCGGGAGTGATTTATTTCTCCCTTGTGAATTTACGGGGGGGCGATATTATCCTGAACTGGTTCTATACTATTAGTGTTACCAGGGAAACCCCAGAAATCTCTCCCGCCAAGCCAGGCCGAAAACTGCCGTGCTAGGAGTCTACGGGGGAAGGGGGGGCCACTAGGAAACGCCCTAGTCGTCAGTGCTCTAGGTGAATAGCTTTCGTAGCGGGTAAGTATGTGTCCCACGCCCCCAGGAATTCAGGCAACGCGATCCGAGGGTGGTCGCCGGGCGGTTTGGGGCTCCTCCCTTCGGGCGGATTTAAAAAATCTACACTAGGAAGCAGAAAGCAAAACTGTAACACTGGTGACTTGAATCTGCAACTGGTACAGGGAGCAGCGCACGTCGGCCTACAGCCTGGTGGCCCCGCAAGGGGGCCAGCGGATCTGGTTATGCATTTCTCCTCTTCCTCCAAGGAGGAAAAGGCGATGGAGGAGGGGGGGGAGGAAATGGAGGACCAAAGGCACCGTTCGACCCCAGGGGAGGCCTGGCAAGAGTGCGCGCCCCCGACGGGCGTCCAGCGACCATCCTGCCAGCTTTGTTTGTGGCAAGCTACGGGGCTCGCTGCGTCGCTGGCAGACCGTCGGCGGTCCTACGTATCCTTGTCAGGATGGTTTCCCGACTCTGCCTGGAGGAGCCCGCGGCCCGCGGGAGGCTGGTGGCATGCGTTTGAAAGAAAAAGAGGAGGACCAGTGCAAACTTCAGACGCACCAGCGATGTTACAAGAAGCCCTCTCCGCAAGCTCCCCGTTCACAGGTGCCTGAAAAAAAGGTTTGCCTGCATTGCGGAGGTGGCCCATTAGAAGGTAATCGTCTGAGACACCACATTCGTGCCAGAACATTGTTGCTGAGACTTCGACGCCGCAGATCAAAGTGATTGTTGCGCCCTGACTGGCAATCCTAAATCGCGCCAGAGCAAAGTTTTGGGACGTCAGCAACGCGAATCAACGTTACTTGCGTCCTGGCAGCCCTAAGGCTTGCCAGAACACAATCATTACGATTATACAAATATTTGAGAGCGCTTCGCATTTACAAGACGACTGTGCGCTGGCTAAAACGAGATCCACATGTTTGAAGTCGACTTGCTTTCCATCCGTGAAAGATTACAAACGTTTAGGGCAAGCGTGCGCGGCGCTGAAGCGAAAACCGCATTTTTGAAAACGACCCGCCTTCCACCACCCGTGAAGCTGTTGCAGTATTTGAAGACGAGTGTGCACGGCACTAGCGCGCGCGGCGCTAACGCGAGAACCGCATGTTGGAAACCACCCATTATCCATCCGCGACGCTGTTGCCAACTTTCAAGACGCATGTGGACGGCGCTTAGACGAAAGTCGCATTTTGAAGTGACCCGCCCTCGATCCGTAAAGCTGTTGCTAACCTTTGTAGAAGAATGCGCGCGGCGCTAAGGCGAGAGCCACATTGTTGAAACCAGCCCGCCTCCATCCGTAAAATGGTGCAACTTTCAAGTTTCAGGGCCATGCATGGCGATGAAATCTCAGGCGAACCGCCTGGCAGGCCCTACCAGCACGTCTGGGGGCGGGACAGGAAAGAGTTATTTGTGACGAAGAAGGGTGCAGAAGGAGGAAAGAGCGGCACCTTATCCAGCCCGCGCTGCTCTTCGGCACCCGCGCATGGATCCCTTTCCGTTTCCTCCACTCGCTCGTTACCGTTATGTATTGCGCGCCGTTGTTTGCAGTTGCGTGTACATTTTTTCACAGCTGCGTTCAGGAGCAAACAACGGGATGATGATGAGAGCGGAGGGGGTGCTCCAATATCAGGAAAGGAACGCCACGAGCGGAAGCACCAGGAACAACACTAACACGGACAGCGTCATGAGGATGAGGAGCAGGCGGGGGGTAGATGATGAGGGTGTGGAAGCGGACGGGCAGGCTGCGGGTGCCGTTTGCGTTTATGCGGCTCTAGCCAGGCATTACACCCCAATGACATCTCAATTTTCCCTTGCCTCCCCGTATCATGGCCGTTTCCCCGCACAGGGAACTATTATACACGAGGGGGAGAAGGATACGGAAGACGAGGAGGACGGAGAGGAGGCGGAGGTCTTAGGGGAGTATGACGAAAAGTGGCGAGGCAAAGAAGATTGCCCCACGCCCTCTTCGCCGTCGCGGACGAGCTCGGCGGGTGGCGGCCAGGTGCTCACTTGCCACGCCATCGATGAGGAGGAGGAGCCCCCCCGTTGGTCGCTGTGAGGATGGCTTCAACCACCGCCGTCGAGCAGCGCACCGCCGCCGTGGTGCCCCTCGTGCAGTGCCCCTGGGCCTCGCCGCCGCCAGGCCTCCTCGGTGGCGGGTGGCCGCCCAGGGAGCCCGCAGAGGGGCCCTGTCGTTGCGAACCCATAGCGATGGAAGGTTGTTGTTTCGGACCCCTGGGACTCTGAGGGGTCTCGCCGACGTCGGGACCGTCCCAAAACTGTTTGGCATGGAAAGCTAGTCCTGGGGAAGGGGTCCAGACCTCTGAGAGCCACTGTGTGAACACATCATTAGGGCGGGTCTTGGACCGGGATAGATCGTTCCAGAGCGTTCAGGACGGCTGTAGGAGCGCTCTGGATCGGCCGCGGCGCCAGATTCATTTCCATAACCGCCAAATCTCAGATTCCCGATTTGTCTCGGTCCGATGTTGTCATGGTTCTGGCTTCGTCTCACGTCGCGTCGAGGAACCAGCCCGACGGCTGTGTTTCCGCGATTCTCGGTCTCCGGGGGCCTTTCGGGCCGTCGGAGGGAAAGCTTGGGATGGAGAATTGCCACAGGGGAGGGGGGAATCCTGGACTCCCGTCGCGTCGAGAAAACCGCGCGACGGGAAATCTTCCGTGACGTCTGCCGAGGCTCTTGATCAGGGCCGTCAGAAAAATAGGCTCGGGATCGGCACCTCCCAGCGCGTCGGCACTGCAAGGGCGACGCGCACACCAAGAAATCTTGTAGTATATGCTCCTCGGCAGACGCTTGCTCGGGAAACGATACATACGGCAAGATGGTTGTACTAGATGTCCGTGTCAGACGCACGCCCCCGAGGAGGACACCTGGTCCTTGAACGTCCTTCTGCGGAGTTCCTGGCAGAGTGCTGTCAGCGAGCATGTTTGGTGGCACCCCGGCGGGGGCGGCGCGAGGGGAGCGGCCTTCTGAGAAGGCGGCGGGGCCTTCCTGGAGGCACGCCTAGCCTCCAAGGAGCCTTCTGGGAAGCCTCCGGGCGTTTCTAAGAAGGCCCCTGCCCTTGACCAGGAAGCTGGATCCACATGACGTGGACGGCCTGGGCGAGCGCTGGATGCACACGAAGCCACGTCGTGTCTTTCCAACTCTAGGCTCTCGTGTATCCAGGCAGGTTGGTACTCCACATGTGTATCCAGGAAGCGCCTTCCAGACTGTCCACATTGGAATCCAGCCGTGGATGTTTCCAGCTTTCTGGCGCCCCGCCGTTTTTGACGGCCACCCCCTCGCGTCACCTGGGCGCCGCCAGAAATTGCTGCGCCGGGTTCGGGACGTGAAAATCCGATTTGTTCTCTCCAGTGCGGTGGGAGCCCAGGGTGCGGCGCGTTCCGACGCCGAGCCACGTTCCTGGACCTTCTCGAATCATGCAACATTCACGACCACAAACTTTCCTTTACTTTCAGCGTCTCGGCGCCCTTACCGGGCCTCGGGGCCAGCAATAAAAAGACGATGAAAAAATTGTCCTGGGGATGGGTCGAGACCCTTGGGGGTCGACGTTATGAACAACTCATGACGTCGGGGGTCAGGATTGGGGGACTCCGCGCGGAGACGGCTGAGTGCAAGAGGGTTTCGGCGGGCCTCCTCGTAGCGGAACTCGTCGGGTCTGCTTTGATAAGTTGGCCCACTAACCCTGAGATCGTGGCCGCGCAAACTCCTTCCCTTCCGAGTCGGGCGCGTTCGTGTACACTCGGCCCCTGGGGCCCTCACATATATATCCGGAAACATGTGGTTCGGGGCTCCAGTCGTGATGCCTCACCATGCATTTTTCTGTTCTGTTTTGGATGTCAGGGTGCCAGAGATGTGATTGGACGATCACATCATTCTGAGCACCAGCAGCGCTTGTATGATCACCTTCCAGCAAGGGGTGGGGCAGAAGGGAAACTGGAACATGCGCTTTTCACATGCGAAGCGTATTGTGTCTCTGCCGGATCCTTCGGATATTCGCGTCTACGTGCACGCATGCCGCTCAGCAATGTGATATATATATATATATATATATATATATATATATATATATATATATATATATATATCACTGGGGGCGAGGCCAGGGGCCCCAGGACAGGTGCCTCCACCCCCCATGGGGGGACGGGGGCTCATTTTCCCTGTGTTTTTACAAGGTTTCCGCGTCCTGGGCCTGGGAGGCCGCCGCTTCCGACCCCCCATGGGAGGACGGGGCGGCCGGGGAGGTCCAAAATAGTCCAGGAGGGCATCCAGAGGCTCCCAAGACGGCCCAAGCGGGCCCCGAGTCGCCGAAAGACCGCTCCAGGACGCCCAAGATAGGCTCAAGACGGCCCGAGAGGCCCCCCAAGGCACTCCACGACGCTTCCAGACGCCTCTCCAAAGCGCTTCACGAGGCCGAAATCGTTTATTTTACGGAGGTTTTGGACACATTTTGCTTTTCCCGCCTTCTCAGCTTTCCGACGCTCCACGACGGCTCAAAGGCCCCCCGCGGACGCCCCAAGAGAGCCCACGAGGCCTCCAAGAGGGGCTCAAGACGGCCCTGGAGGGCCCCAAGACGGCCCAAAACGCGCTCAAGACGGGCGAAGAGAGCCCCAAGACGGCCCAAGCGGGCCCCGAGTCGCCGAAAGACCGCTCCAGGACGCCCAAGATAGGCCCAAGACGGCCCGAGAGGCCCCCCAAGGCACTCCACGACGCTTCAAGACGCATCTCCAGAGCGCTTCAAGAGGCCGAAATCGTCAATTTTACGGAGGTTTTCGAACGATTTTGGCCTTCCAGCCTTTTCGGCTGTCCGACGTTCCAAGACGGCTCAATAGGCCCCCAGGAGCGCCCCAAGACGGCCCAAGAGGGCCCCAAGAGGGCCCCAGAGTCGCCCAAGACAGCCCAACAGAGCCCCAAGACGGCCCCAAGATGCGCCCAAGAGGGGGACCACGATTCCAAAATTCGACCCTCCCGCTTGAAGAGTGCCCCAGGAGGCCCCAAGAAGCCTCCAAGAGGCCCCAGGAGGCCCCCAAGAGGCACCCAGGAGGCCCAAACGAGGCCTAAAGAGGCCACAAAACAGGCCCGAGGAGGCCCCACAACGGTCCCAAAACGGCCGCCGAGAAACTGCGAAACTGCCTTCACGACGTCCCCGACAGGCCAACCACGAGATCCAAACCAACACCCATGAGGCCTCTGACCCACCACCCAGGGCACGGTGGCGGGAGCAGTGACAGCACTTGTGCACAGCATGTTCCGGCGGAAGCCTTCCGGAACACGCTGCAGGAGAAGGAGGAAGATCAGGAGGAGAGAGAGCTGGAGTGGGAGGAGGAGGAGGGGGGCGAGGAGGAGGAAGAGGTCTCCAAGACAGCTCGAAGATAGCCGAAGAGGCTTACACGAGGGCCCTGGGCGGCCCACGAGGGCCCCAAGGCGGCGCGGCGCCAGGGCGCCTACCACGTGTTGAAGAGGATCCGCCCTCGGTCCTGCCAGCGGCTGCAAACACCGACATCGGAAAGCACGCGGCGCTGGGGCGATAGTCACGTTTTGAAAACAAACAGCCGCCCCTCCATCCTTGAAGCTGCTGCGACTTGTCGATGATGCTCCGACCGATCCGCCTGTCCCTCTTCTGTGCGAGCTCGCGTTCACAATCGGGGAAGTCCGCGCTAGAACCAAAGCGCGCGCGAAGCGCGCGCGTGGTTCTAGCGCGTTATGGGCCTCGGAGGCCGCCGCCTCCGACCCCCCATGGGAGGATGGGGCGGCCGGGGAGGTCCAAAATAGTTCAGGAGGGCCTCCAGAGGCTCCCAAGACGGCCCAAGCGGGCCCCGAGTCGCCGAAAGACCGCTCCAGGACGCCCAAGATAAGCCCAAGACGGCCCGCGAGGCCCCCCAAGGCGCTCCACGACGCTACAAGACGCCTCTCCAGAGCGCTTCAAGAGGCCAACATCGTCGATTTTACGAAGGTTTTCGAACGATGTTGTCCTTCCAGCCTTTTCGGCTGTCCGACGTTCCAAGACGGCTCCATAGGCCCCCAAGAGCGCCCCAAGACGGCCCAAGAGGGCCCCAAGACGGCCCCAGAGTCGCCCAAGACAGCCCAACAGAGCCCCAAGACAGCCCCAAGATGCGCCCAAGAGGGGGACCACGATTCCAAATTATCCCGGCAAAGCAACCTAACAGCGATATGTAGTAGCATAGCTGGAGGCATGCAGCAGCAGTAACACTCGCAGTAGTATTAGCAATAAGAGCAGGAAAGATGAAACAGTGGTAACAGTGAAGTAGTAGTTGTAGTTCGGAGTCCTGTAAAAAGGAGACACTGCTATCAACGCTGGAAATGTGTCAAAACGAGACACTGCTATGAATGGCGGCAGTCGTGTAAAAAGGAGACACTGCTATCAACGCTCGCAGTGTGTCAAAACGAAACTTCGCTGTGAATGGTGGGAGTCGTGTAAAAAGGAGACACTGCTATCAACGCTGGGAGTGTCAAAACGAGACATTGCTATCAACAGTGCGAGTCGTGTAAAAACGGGACACTGCTATCAACGCTGGCAATGAATGATGATGATGAGTGCGATGATGAGTGCGACGATGAGATGATGACTGTTCTTTTTTTCAGAGGACCGCGCTGAGGAGCGGCGTGCGAAGCGGAGAAGCTGCAAAGCGTGCAGGCTGAAAAGCATTGCAGACACGCGCAGGCTGAAAAGCATTCCGCGACACGTGCAGGCTCACCGCGCACAGCTGCACACGAGCGCAGGCTGAGAAGCACCACGCGCATGCAGGCTGAGAAGCACCACGCGAATGCAGACGGACAGACTGAACAGCACCGCCACAACGCAACCTGCATCTCATGGCTCCTCAAGCTCGCGCAGGCCATCCCAGTTGCTGTCGGGCCTTCGCGCAAGCGATCTTCGTCGCGGCAATCTTGTCCGTGAAGAGCTCGGCGAAGGCCTTGGCGATCTGTTCCGGGGGGCCGGATTCGATGATGCTCCGGTCAGGCAAGCCGTGGCTCAAGAGTTGGTTGAAGCTTCTGGGGCGCGACAGGCTGACGTAGTAGGCAAGCCAAATGGACTCCTTCTTGAGTCCTGGCGGAAACGTCCAGTGCACGATGAAGCCTGGGTCCGTCGTCTTGCCCTGGACGCC